TACAATATACAGTAACTTATACACAGCAATAATACAGTTATTACCCTATAATACACTAAACTCACACTACCAACTGTCCACACTAATTACACAATCACACACTCCTCTAGCAACCACCAGAGATAACAAAGCAACGGCATAGCAACACCCTAGCCACCATCTGGGATAGCTCAGCAATGCACAAGCAACACCTCGGCAATCATCGGGGATAGCATAGCAACAGCCAGGCAACACCCTAGCAGCCACCTGGGATACCATAGAAATGAACTAGAAATAGTTCAGCAATCACCTGGGACACTGCAGCAACAGCCAGCCAACAGCCTAGCAACTATCTGGGATAGCATAGCAGTGGCCTAGCAACACCTAAGTAATCACCTAGGATACTATAGCAAGAGCCAAGCAACCACCTGGGACATGCATAGCAATGGCCTAACAACACCTTAACAACCACCTGACATACCATAGCAACAGCCGAACATCACCCTAGCAAACAGATAGCCATATTCACCAATCATTGCCCTAACAGTAAGCTGGATTACCATAGCAACCTCAGAGCAACACCATAGCAACAACCTAACATTGCTAAATAAACCCAATTAAATTATCAAAAACAATCAGCAGCATTCTGCAACTGTTATTAGTGATTTTAGTCATGTCGGGTTCGTAACGTGATTGACTTATTTACCTACTATAAAATCAAGTGTTGAAATAACCCATCTTCTATCAGCCCTGTGCAAATCGACAATATATGATGTTTTTTCACTGTTAAGATAATGCTAACTTCCACTAGCATGATAATGGAGTTTTCAATGTTATGTACAACCAAGCTAGTGGTGGTGTATATTTACATTTTAAATTTACACTTAAGAGTCCGCTGAATCACTCTAACACAGAAGATTAATCTTTACAATACATGACATCACATCACAGAGTGTGTTTACATGCACTTAATAATCCGATAACTGCAGAAATCAGATTTTGTCAGTCAACCGATCAACGCATTTATATACACTTGGGTAATCAGATAATGGTGAAACTCCAGGTCTACATGAGTCTGACAGCAATCGAATTTCTGCTTTGATACCGGCCAATAAACTCACAGAAGAAGATGTGATGTAATGTGATGTAATGTAAAACTCAAACATGCCGTGGCTTAAAAAAAATGTTGCTACTTTACTTTAAAAATATGAACATACATCATCTAGAAAATAAGAAAATATTTAAATCTCTCATTTCATCAAGCATGTATTTGGTTTCATCGTCGCTACAGAAGTGTTTTGCTGTGTCTCACTGCACCGCTACTCGCTTATTATCTGTTCTCGCGCCTGCGCAGACTGAGAAATCCGAAAGAAATCAGAGTAAGAGTTTACAAGCACTAAGAAATCTGGTTACTGAGCTAAACTCCAGCTCTCTTTATCAGATTTCTTAATCAGATTTCTAGATCGGAGTGTGGTGTTTACATGACCATTTGAATAATCGGATAACTGCAGAAATTATTATTATTATTGAGTGCATGTAAACGTGCTTACTGTTTTATACCTTCGTGTTCATGGGATTCAACCGTATGCAAAACTGCAGTGGTGAAAGTATGAGACTAGGTGAGTGGGCGTGGCTATTTGAGTGGGGTGAGGTGCTTGCTTGATGTGACACAGCAAAGAATGACACTTTTTATAAAATGGCAGTGAATTTCTAACATAGTAGATTAGTAGTAACAAATACACCAATCAGGCATAACATTATGACCACCTCCTTGTTTCTGCGCTCATTGTCCATTTTATCAGCTCCACTTACTATATAGGTGCACTTTGTAGTTCTACAGTTACAGACTGTAGTCCATCTGTTTCTCTGATACTTTGTTAGCCCCCTTTTACCCTGTTCTTCAGCTTTTAAACACTGTGTCCACTCACTGTCCACACTATTAGACACTCCTACCTTGTCAGTCCACCTTGTAGATGTAGTCAGAGACAATAGCTCATCTGCTGCTGCACAGTTTGTGTTGGTCATCCTCTAGTCCTTCAGCAGTGGTCACAGGACGCTGCCCACAGGACGCTGTTGGCTGGGTGTTTTTGGTTGGTGGACTATTCTCAGTCCAGCAGTGACACTGAGGTGTTTAAAAACCCCAGCAGCACTGCTGTGTCTGATCCACTCAGACCAGCGCAACACACACTAACACACCACCACCACATCAGTGCTACTGCAGTGCTGAGAATGATCCACCAGCCAAATAGTACCTGCTCTGTGAGGGTCCACGGGGGTCCTGACCACTGAAGACCAGGGTAAAAGGGGGCTAACAAAGTATCAGAGAAACAGATGGACTACAGTCTGTAACTGTAGAACTACAAAGTGCACCTATATAGTAAGTGGAGCTGATAAAATGGACAATGAGCGTAGAAACAAGGAGGTGGTCATTATGTTATGCCTGATTGGTGTATTTGAGCACAGATGAACAAAATGCAGTTTTGTTGTTTGTTAAGTGTCCTTTAAAACCTCCATTATAACAGATTAAACACAGCTGTTAGACTCTTTGTGGTGATTTTGATGGTTGGCTGTAAAGTCCCCAGCTAAGGACAACACTAAAGCTTACATAACAATTAATGTTACACACTTTAATGTCTGATGTCCAGTTCTAGAGTTTGAGAAGAGTAACATAATCACAGTGACACCTTTGGGAGCCCCGTTTGTTGGGAGAACACAGCTGCAGCTGATTAGTTTTTAAAACTGGAAGGATGTAAGTGGCAATAGGGAAGAGGCAAACAAAGATTAGATGAATTGAATTTGCTGTTAAATATGTCATTATTTAACAGTTTCCTACATTTTTCTGACCATAAAATTAAAATAAAAACTTTTACACTTTTACAAGACGTTTTGACTGGACATTGAATTAACGGAAGGGTGTGTATCCTGAAAACTGAAATCTGTTTTTGTGCACATTCAGCTGGACATCTGGGTCAAATATTTATATTTCCAAATAATAGCGAGTTCAAAAGAAAGAGAAAGGAGGTGATCTTTATTTGAACAATGTTACAAACCGAAACTCCTTTATCAGTTATGAGCAAACAAGGTAGTGGAGACTGCTTTATTTCGCAAGTTCACGATGACGAAGCTGGAGGGCGAAGTCCGGACAACCTTCAGGCCTGCGCTGTGTTAGTATTATTAGTGTGCATGTATTTATTTATTTATTTATTTTAGATAATATGTACAAACAGTACAAAACCGTACAGACAGTATTGATGACCTACATAGTTTGCAGTTAAAGTTTGCTGTAAGAAGTCACTAAAGAACTAATTTGCATATGTAAACAAACACTATTGCTGGTTTAGGTTTGCAATGACTGCAAAAATAATTAGGAAATTTCCTGATTCACTGAATTTACAGTAACTGGTTTACAGTCTGCAGTGAACTGATGCTAGCCTGCTAACTAACTGCCAGCTTGCTCAAGTATACTACTGATGTACTAAAGTATACTTTTTTTCTCAAGGGTTCACTCTAAAAAAAGAAGGGTTCTTTAGTAAACAGTTCTACATAGATCCATGAACACTTAAAGATGATTAAAAGGTTCTTTGCATCATGAAATGGTTCTTCAGATTGATGGCGAATGTGCTGTAGATGGTTCTATATAGAACCTTTTTGAAAAAAAAAGGAAAAGCGTCCTTGTATTGTTACGATGTCGAGCCTGTAACAGTAGAAGAACCCTTTTGGGTGCTATATAGAACCCTTTTCAAAAAGGTTCTATATAGAACCATCTATAGCACATTCATGCACATTTTCCATCAATTTGAAGAATTTTGTGCTGCAGAGAACCTTTAATCATGCAAAGGGTTTTCTGAGTGTTCAGGGTTCTATATAAGACCATTTTCTTTACTAAAGAAGCCTTGAAGAACCTTTTTGAAAATGGTGCTATATAGCAGCCCAGAAGAGTTCTTCTAGTATTATGATGTCAATCTTGAAACAATAGAAGAACCCTTTTGGGTGCTATATAGAAACCCTTTTCAAAAAGGTTCTATATAGAACCATCTATAGCACAATATCAATCTGAAGAATTTCTTGATGCAAAGAACCCTTCAATCATGCAAAGGGTTTTTGAGTGTTCGTGGTTCTACATAGAACCATTTTCTTTACTAAAGAACCCTTGAAGAACCTTTTTGAAAATGGTTCTATATAGCACCCAAAAGGGTTCTTCTATTGTTACAATGTCAAGCTTGTAACAATAGAAGAACCGTTTTGGGTGCTGTATAGAACCCTTTTCAAAAATGTTCTGTATAGAACCATCTATTTTCCATTTTCCATCAAACTGAAGAACAATTTTGTGATGCAAAGAACCCTTTAATCATGCAAAGGGTTCTTTGAATGTTCATAGTTCTATATAGAACCATTTTCTTTACTAAAGAACCCTTGAAGAACCATCTTTTTTGAGAGTGTAGTAGTAGTTTAAACTCATAGTTTTTAAAAATATTTTAGTGTTCAATAAAGTTACTGTTCAAGTAAACTGACATTTGACAGTAGGATGATATGGGACTCTTATTTTGAAATCATAGGTGTTTCTGCTGAATAATTAAATAATTAATTTAATTAATTTAATTTAATAATAATTGAATAATTTCTGATTAATTCTACATTCTCAGTAGATTCAATTCCATTTATAATTTAATTCTAAAGCTCCATATCTACCACTATGTTCCGAATGAATCCACAAGGGCAGATTTAACGAACAATCAGTCTAAATTAGATTAATAGCTAAGCTAATAAGAGCTGTATTACAGCCATAACCGCTCAATATGCAGCGTTCGTGCTGCAGCGGGGTTTTGTTTGAATATGGCTTATGTAGTTTAACCAGCCACAGTGTCTGGTGGGTAAAACAACCCATCAGATGTGAATATTTAGCCGCAAAAACTAATTTTGCAGGCAGAATTTGAGGATAATTTGTTAATGTGAGATGGGCCGGATGAACCCATGGTAGTTCGAGACCCCTGCCCTAAACCCTTTCTCCTTCTGCCCCTCAGGTAAGGGCGACCTGATCGGCTCAGACTCGCTGACCAGGGAGCAGGTGATTAAGACCAACGCTAACGTGAAGGCCCTGACCTACTGTGATCTGCAGTACATCAGCCTGAAGGGCCTGCGAGAGGTGCTGCGCCTCTACCCGGAGTACGCCCAGAAATTCGTCAGCGAAATCCAGCACGACCTCACCTACAACCTGCGGGAGGGCAACGGAGCGGACGTGAGCGGCTCTCGCACATACACAAACACGCAATGCAGCAGGACAGTGCTGAAAACAATGCGATCAACCCTGACAGCACACAGAGATACAGTGTATGTCCGAAAGTGTCCGGACACCCATTCTAATGAGTGGATTTGGCTGCGTTAATGTGCACCAGTGCTGACAGTGGTTTAATGGCTTGTATAGTTTCCTTAGAAAAGCATGGACCAGGATAATGAGACAGTCTGGAGAAGCCAAACTTGAGCCTAAGGTCATCATGACCATTGCAGAGCATCGGCCAGAGGAGTATAAAGCCCCACAACACTGCGCTGCGGAGCAGACGAACTGGATTCTGATTTCTCTTGTCCATGGTGGTTGCTAAGGTGTTGCAAGGCTGTTGCTATGGTACCTCAGGTTGTTGTTTATGTGTTACTAGGTTCTTTGCTATGGTACCCCAGATGGTTGCTAGGATGTTGATTAGCTGTTGCTTTGTTGTCCACGGTGGTTGGTAAAGTGCTGCAAGGCTGTTGCTATGGTATCCCAGGTGGTTGCTAGGTTGTTGCAAAGCTGTTGCTATGGTATCTCAGGTAGTTGTTAATGTGTTACTAGGTTCTTTGCTATGGTGTACCAGGTGGTTGTTAGGGTGTTGATAAGCTGTTGCTATGCTCTCCATGGTGGTTGCTAAGGTGTTGCCAGGCTGTTGTTATGGTATCTCAGGTAGCTGTTAATGTGTTACTAGGTTCTTCTTTGTTATGGTGTCCCAGGTGGTTGCTAGGGTGTTGATAAGCTGTTGCTATGCTCTCCATGGTGGTTGCTAAGGTGTTGCCAGGCTGTTGCTATAGTATCTCAGGTAGCTGTTAATGTGTTACTAGGTTCTTCTTTGTTATGGTGTTCCAGGTGGTTGCTAGTGTGTTGATAAGCTGTTGCTATGTTGTCCACAGTGGTTGGTAAGGTGTTGCCAGGCTGTTGCTATGGTATTCCAGGTGGTTGCTAGGGTGTTGCAAGGCTGTTGCTACGTTGTCCAAAGTGGTTGCTAAGATGCTGCAAGGCCATTGCTATGGTATCTCAGGTAGTTGTTAATGTGTTACTAGGTTCTTTGCTATGGTCTCCCAGGTGGTTGCTAGGGTGTTGCTAGGCTGTTGCTATGTTGTCCACAGTGGTTGCTAAGGTCTTGCAAGGCCATTGCTATGGTATCTCAGGTAGCTGTTAATGTGTTACTAGGTTCTTCTTTGTTATGGTGTTCCAGGTGGTTGCTAGGGTTTTGATAAACTGTTGCTATGTTGTCCACAGCGGTTGGTAAGGTGTTGCAAGGCTGTTGCTATGTTGTCCATGGTGGTTGCTAAGGTGTTTCTAGTCTGTTGCTATGGTATCTTTGGTAGTTGTTAATCTGTTACTAGGTTCTTTGCTATGGTGTCCCAGGTGGTTGATAAGGTGTTGCCAGGCTGTTGCCATGTTGTCCACACTGGTTGCTAAGGTGATGCAAGGCCGTTGCTGTGGTATCTTAGGTAGTTGTTAATGTGTTACCATGTTCTTTGGCATGGTATCCCGGGTGGTTGCTAATATGCGGCAAAATGATAATAATATAAAGAAGAAAACAATGAAAAACAGTAATTAAATAAATCATTTTATCAATTTTTGAATTTTCACTCCTTAAAGTGTCACAGAATGACTGTATCGGTGGAGCCCTAGTGTGAGTCTTTTTAAGCCCTTGCATTGATCCTGCTTTTGATGGATCTGTGAGGATGCTGCCCAGCAGTGACCTTTACCACAGGTGTGTCTGTTTCTCTGGATTTGAAGTGGCCGAGAAAATGGATCCTCCATCTGTTGCTTTTGGCATCTCTCCATCTCTTCCCCCCTCTCCTCTCTCTCTCTCTCTCTCTCTCTCTCTCTCTCTCTAGCACAGGGTGCATCCTCGCTCCCTCATCATCCTCTCGCACATGTCTGCTCACTCACGAGTCCTCTGTCTCTCCCAGAAACACCACACACACACAGAGCGGGTGTGCGGAGTGTGTGGAGTGTGTGTGACAGAAATAGCAGCAGGCTGCGGTTGGAGTGTGTGCGGTGGTTATTAATAGCCGCTGGAAGGCGGGGGCTCTCCCTCACTGGCTGAGGGAGCTCCCTCTCTGCAGGCTAACTCTGGATCCTGCCTGCTATAAATAGAAGACAGAGTGAGGGAGCGACAGAGCGAGCAAGCGAGCGAGGGATGGAGGAGGAGGGGAAGCTTCCCCCTCTACTGTGGCTGGTTTCTTTGCACTCATTCTACAGAAACGTACATGTGAAGGTGGCAGACATCACCATACATTAAG